CCAGGCCGGCACGACTCTGACCTATGCCTACTGCACAGACTGCTATAAGCCTCAAGCTGCAGAAGTGTCGACCATCATCAACCTGTTCCGTCAGATCTTCGCCTTCACCATCGGCTTCTACGCACTACCGTTTGGTCAATCCGTCAGCTTCGGGGCTGCCTGGGGAACCTTCGCCGCCATCAACTTCGTAACCTGGTTGGGTCTGTTATTCCTCATCTGGCAAGGCGGAAAGATCAGGAAGGCGCAAGGTGAGCCGAATCTTCATAAAGATTTGTGATCCATCTCCTCTTCGAGTCAGTTTCCAGCTGGGCTGTACAGTTGGGAAGTCCACTGCGGGAGATGGTCGGAATACGCAGCGGGTCACACTTTGAATGGACATGTTTCCGGAAATTTCTTTTTTTTTTTTTTTTTTTTTTTTTTTTTTTTTTTTTGGAAAACACAGTGATCAAAGTACAGGCATTTTGTCAATTATAACATCTCATCATGTCACCCGAATTGAGTCTCACTATACTCGTTTCTTCTAGCCATTAATGTTGTGGTGTGGACTTCCTTTTCACCTGGAAACTTCAGCCCAGGCGCACGACGGAAACATGGCGATCGTGCTTAGAGTAGCCAGTGAGCTCCGTGATGGTATGCATTTGTCGGCATGATCAAATTCCAAACCGGCGTCTTTCCGCGCCGCAGAAATCAGAGACATGACCAAGCTCCAGTGACAGGCTCTTCACCTAAAAAAGTTGAAGGGTTGGCGTGGGATCTGAGATGCCGACATCCGATTTGGTGGTTCAAGCAAAAGGGATCTGCTCCGGCTTATAGATTATGTATCCCTAGGGATAGGATGTAAGTGCCGAAGAGTTTTGGGAGAGGATATGTGATATCCAACTTCGTGGTCTTTTATCTCCCCGGCTCGCGCTAACTTCTTGGCGTAGTTCTGGTTCTCCCCGGCCCGGAGGTAACTTCCGGACGTCTCCAACCTACACTCATTGTTCGGCAAACCCCCTTCTGCGTTGCAATTCCCGCTACGCCATCAATGTGACAGCCCGGTTCCTTCTAAGTCTTTTTTCCCAATTGGCCCAGGTTCTCCAAGTCTGGCTGCAGAAGACGTCTGAGCAGTGACAGAGGCATGGAAACCTTCCCGGAACCCGCGGTCCTGAGCCTAACAACGATGCCCGACCGATCAATTTTGCGGGACCGTCGTGTTGCTTCGCTTCGAAAGGTTGCTTTCTTTACGATCTCACATGAATGGATTTGCGTTCAAACCCTCCGTTCCAGATCTGCCAAGAAGGTATATACATCAACCGGGGAAGCTTGGATTCTTGACTCTTTTCGGACTATAGCGTTCAGAAAACACAGTCTTGGTCTCTAGTAATCAGTCACATCAGCTTCGATCTTTCCAACCATGCATTCAGCAACGCTCAGCAATACAGAAATCACTGACCCAGCAACATTCAATGTCGCCATTATCGGCGGTGGAATCGGAGGTCTCACAACGGCTCTGAGTGTCGCATACCACAGTCCCACTCTCCAAAACATCACCGTCTACGAACAGGCACCAGCGTACAAAGAGATCGGCGCTGGCATTGGCATCGGCGTGAATGCAGCCCGTATCTTGAAGAAATTGGGTGTGTGGCAAGCTGCAAACGCTATCTCCGGCGAACGCAATGGTGTCCACCGGAGCTGTCGACGATACGACACTGGTGAGGAAATCGTCGCGGTTGGAGCGATGGATGAGAATGCAGATGGTGGTGTTAGGCAACTGAGCGTGCATCGTGCAGAGATCCTGGATGTCCTGTATCAGGAACTGATACGGAACTACGGTGGCCGTGTTACGCTGAAGACGGATATGAAAGCTACTAGAGTCGAGGTAAGCGGAACTCAAGACTTCGATACTATTTTCCCCTTCCGTTGACTATCTTGTCGGCCAAGTTCCATGCCTCTTTCCATGCCTCTCCCCTTTTGGCCTCTTTGCTCGTATCTGATCTTTCTTCCAGGACTGCGGCAGTGAAGTAGCAATCTACTTCGCAAACGCAACAAACCCGATGGAGACAGCCAATCTGGTGATCGCATGTGACGGCATTCACAGCACCATTCGGTCGCAATTTGCTCTTGACAAACCCCGATATAGCGGCCGGATCGCCTACAGAGGCCTGCTCCCTCTCAGCGCCATCAGCGACAAATGGCCTTATCCTAGCTACGCTGTGAGTTGGTTGGCGCCAGATAAGCACTTCCTAGTCTTCCCCATCTCGCAAAACAAGACGCTCAACGTTGTAGCCTTTGTGACTAAACCAGAGAACGAACTTGGCGATCTGAAGGAGAGTTGGACCAGCAGTGCTCCGCGCCGGGAGCTCGAGAGCGAGTATGCAGGCTGGGAGCCGACTGTTGGAGCCGTGATTCAAGAGATGGAGGCTTGGCCGGGGAAGTGGCGCCTCAATGACCGCGAACTGCTCGAGCAATGGACGTACCTTAACGGCAAGGTCGTGCTAGCTGGTGATGCTGCTCACGCAATGCTCCCACATCAAGGTTGGTATTTCCGCCTCAACTGGTGCAAATGCTCTTTTAGTCTCATCTCGCTAATTCTCGATAACTCCAGGCTCTGGAGCCGGTCATGCAATCGAAGATGCTTACATCCTAGGCCTCATCGTGAGCGACTATTTCGCCAACCCTATTCCAGGTCTAGCCGCCTACACAGCCCTGTATCAAGCCGTCCGACGACCCCGCGCTCAGAAGGCTCAAATCACCAGCCGTCAGGCCGGTGACGTGTATGAAATGCAGGGCAAGGAATTTGAGGGTATCGCCTCCTACGAAGATGGTTTGCCCATCGTCCGCGAGAAATTGGCTGGTCGGATGAAGTGGGTTTGGGGTCATGATCTCGAGGCTGATTATCAGAAGGCTCGTGAGGAGGCTGGGTTAGCCGCGCAGACCCAGCCAAAAGTGTTGCCCAGGACGAACGGAACGGTGAATGGAATCCTGGCTGGGACGCTGAATGGCAACATCGGAGCAGCTCAGCATGGGATCGATGTCCAGGAGGTTGAGGCATGAATCACGGCGTCCTGGCGTTGGGATGCCCGGAGTTGTCGGTCCTTCCCAACTTTCCCGCAATAAGAAGGCTGATGTGCCAGGGTAACATATTTCACCTATTGCGTCCCCACTGGCGCAATGGTCTTTTCTGCTCGCTCTGGTCATTTGGAAATTGGAACCCCCCCGAAGATGGCGTCGTTTGTCATTGGAGTTTTGACATTTGGCTTGATATTTCCCCTAATTTGTCTAAACACGTTTTCCGGGCGGCCTGGCACGGTGCGGTGGCTTGTTGAAATGGGATAAATCTAGAAGAACTATATTAGAAGGCCTTTGCCGGCGCACGAGAATCAAGGTAGACGTGGACACACAAAAGATAGAATTCCCCTGGATCTTTTGTACGTGCTGTCTCCTCGCGAGAATGGACAAGGCTGATACCCCTGCGCCGGGACTGTATCTACCTTGTAGAGGCGCCAGCACCAGCTGATGAAACAGGACAGAATCAGACCACCGCTACATGATCCGGCTGGGAAGCCCCGTACGGTGTGGTTTCCCTTCTGAAATATGTACCGGATGCTGCCCCCGCCAAAGAAAAAATTGCCGGAGCTCACAGAGGGTAGTCCGGGGAGATAGACCTTGGCTTCTTGAATGGCGAAAGACGGCAAAGATAGAGATAGAGTGCCTGTCAGGAGATTCCATTACTTAGGTACGGAGCACATAGCGTAGCGAAATCATTCTACTATAATGGATTCGCATTGGTCTGTCCTGGTGCGAGTGTCGATCGAATTGTCTCGGAGCCGTCTATTTTGAAGCGTCTTGTCCTTTGAAGCTTTCCGAGTCTTCTTTTTCCTTGAGCAAATCATCATCGTTCCCGTTGCCGTCGTCGTCGTCGTCGTCGTCGTCGTCATCGCATAATCAACGTCAACATCAACAACCATCTCTCTCCTGCGGAGAGGGGGCTGACAGAAGATGGACATCCACACCACCAAACGCACTCTCATAACCGCCAACCACATCCTCCATCATCAAGGTCAAGTCTTGGACGCCTACGGCCACATCAGCGTCCGCCACCCAACTGATCGCACCATCTTTCTGATGGCGCGCTATGTTCCCGCAGCACTAGTCGCGTCGCCTGATGACATTGTCGAATACCGTGTTGAAGATGCGGAACCCCTGGATCCGCATGCTCCGAGAGGTTATACGGAGCGGTTCATCCATTCCGAGCTATATAAGAGGTTTGGAGAGGTGAGGAGTGTTTGCCACAGTCACGCGCGGGAAGTTATCCCTTGGGGCCTGTTGGTGGGAAAGGGATCGGGACTGAAGGCTTGTGTTAATACGAGTGGATTCTTGGGTAAGTCTCAACTGGGACATAGTGGCGACAACCAAAGCCATTTTGGCCCGTTTCTTTTCTTTGAGTATCGCGAGGAAAACAGTGTACAAGGGAGAATGAGAGGGGGGAACTCACAAAAGTTGGAAAAACTGAATTGGATTGCAGGAAAGGAAACACCCGTCTTTGAGCCACGCCCGCATTTTAGGCCGGGAGACATCAAAGACCTCCTGATCCGTTCCGCGCATCTCGGTGCTGCACTTGCAGCATTGTTCACCAATTCAGCTGGTAGTGGCGGTCAACTTGACCGGAGCGTCGTACTAATGCGAGGCCACGGAATGACTGTAGCAGCGACTTCGATCGAGCACTGCGTTTTCCGCTCAATTTATGCGAGGAACAATGCCATTGTGCAGACCACGGCGGTAATGTTACAAAGTTCACTGAAGCTGGGATCGAATGCTAGCGATGAACACGATCGCGAAGAAGGGGAGGATTTGACGTTCCTCGATGAAGAGGAGGTGGCCGATTGTACGGGGATCAATGTGAAGACCGTCCTCAGACCGTGGACTGCGTGGAGTCGGGAGGTTCAGGCGAATCCATTGTATGTGAATCTTGCGTAGGTCTGGGAGTTGAGACAGGGTTAGTCAGCCGTTTGGTGGTATCATTGTTTCAAGGGTGCATGTACCGGATTGTCACTCCAATCGTCCATCAGGCCCGTCCAGCCGGTGCTGTCCATGAGCATGCTCTCAATGTTTGCCAACTCGTCCTCGAACCCGGCCCTGAGAGACCCTTCCCCCGGCATCGATTGATATGCATCTTGCCCATAGGCAGGGTACATGGCATTGGCAGCTTGCTGATGCTGCGCTTGTTGAGGATACTGATATCCAATAGCATTAGCAGATACTTGTGACTGACTGACATTAGCAGAAGACGCGACCCCTGATTGCGCTCTGGGCCTGTCAGAATTGGTCGCTTCTCTGGATAGGGGCTTGTTTTTGGATGTGGGCAAGGTCTGCAGCCTCGCTCGCAGTTGTTGAATGGCTTGAACATATCGTGATGCAAGCGGGTGCATTTGGCCACCAACGCGCTGAAGCAGTTCAAGGCCTATTCTAACCGCATGGTCGACGTCCACATTAGGAGGCAAAGCAATATCAGCCTTAGATTGAGGATCCACCGTCTGATAAACGAGGAGGACGCCCAGGGCTGCAAATACATCTAGATATGAATCAGTAGCGTTGATCGAAACTGTGATCAGAAAGCGTCTTACAATGCGAATTGTGCCAGAATGATGATAGCTTGTTCTGATGATGCAAGCTCCCCATCTGAGTGATCGAGTCGTAAGCTGCTGTTACACAGCGTTTGACACACTTGAGCATGATTTCGCGCTGAAAGTGGTCTATGACTCGACGTGTGATGTAAAGGAGCAGAGTCTGGCGGTGAATAAGATGCCGCGCGTGAAGATATCTGAAGGAATGATTAGTTAGTCCATAGGAACAGGCCCGAAGGGAGAGGTGCCCACCTCATCAGCAGCACATTTCTCTGCCTTTCGAAGTGCCACTCCAAGCCCTCTGCTCCTGGTTTGAGATGACTCGGGAGATTTTCTTGCCATGTGGTTAACTCTCCGTCGAGCTGGATCGACAAGGCCAAGAATTGAGTGGTATCCATTACTGGTCTCGCCTTCTGCGTGTTGTCTCCGGGCCCGTCACCGCTGTACAGAGTCTTTAGGATCTTTTCCATCAAGCGGCACTGCGGAATGACCTGATTGAAGTACTCTAGCTTGGAAGGCACACCCTGAGGTTGAACAGACTGACCCTCTTCGCGGGACAGGAACTCGTCGTCGACTGCCAGTGGCATACCCACCTCGATCCCCGGGCCGTCCGGAATCGTGGGTCGTCCGACCTTCATGCTCAAGACTCGATCAAGAACGAAGCAGCCCCACCACACCCTCTTGCGCACTTCCTGCTCGATCACATCTGATGTGAAGGTGGCGGGGTCGAGGTGCAGCCCTAACCCTTGCGCTGTACGGATTGCAAGTCCGATAACCGTCCAGCAATTATTGAGCTCGAGGGCACCGTGGAGGTACTGACCCATCAACAGCAAAGCTTGGACAAGCTCGATGGTGCTGACTTGTAACAGTCCAGCCACGAGCAGGGTCTTGGCTCTTTTGAAGTAACGGGACCGATCACCAGTGGAACGGCCGGTGACATTGGCATGATCGCTTCCGAATGCAAACACAAGGTTGACAAGTCCATACCAGGCTAGACTCTGCTGTGTGGCTTCCTCTCCACCTAGATCTTGACTCAACCACAACCGTTGATATCTCTGTCGAAATGTTCCTTCATGCAGATAGGGATTCAGCGGATGCCGGTATTTGAAATATGCGTCCACCAGACGATCAGCCACGAATCGCGACGGTAGACCAAATGGGTCGTCAGATTCAGCGCTCAAAAGCTCGAACACCGGTACTGATGAAGACGAGATTGCAAGGGAAGTGCTGGGGTCTCTCAAGGCAGATCCTCCGGCGGGAACCCCTGACCGCGCAGTCGATGCTTCTTTCTCTGGAGAGCTGACTTTGGCCATGAAGTCAAAAGTCGAAGACTCGCCGAAGTACTCAGTTGGAGTTCCCTTGTTTGCATCGCTCAATACTGTCACGGGATCGGATCCAGCGGTGTGGCTTTCGCTAGGTAGTCGCGTTTGTTGCTGTTGATCGATGGCACCAGGACGGCCCGGTGGCTGAGTTTGTGAAGAGACCGCGCATTGGTTCCCTGCGCTGATCGTTTGGCCATCGTCGTGGGCCTGAACAGAGCCTTCGATCTCTCCGGGTAATGTAGGGACATTGCTTCTCATGGTGAGTCGCTGTATGGAGGCGGTAAATAGCATTGACTGTAGCACTTACAAGTGGCGCGCATTTGCCCGTTGTGTAGCTGCAAGTTGTCTCTCGAGCATCTCATTTCGCATCTTGAGCTCTTCAACATAACTTTGGAATGTCAGTATAGGCATTTCATTTTCTGGATCTTGCAAAGGACCGCGATGCCTACTCTTGTGTGACACTCACTCGCGCCCTCTGTGGCGAGTAAACGCATTCTTGCCGACGTTGTCGACATTGATGGCAAGACGGTCGCTCGCCGTCACATCTATTCTTCTTCAGTCTAGAAGTCGTCAGTCGTCAGTCGTCACACCCTTGCAAACGGCACATGTGGAGTCTGGGGTCAGTAGTCCCACCTGCAAAGATCGCATGCATAGCCAATCCGGCGTCTCTTGGATGGTTGCTTAGTCGCATCTTGATCATTGTCCGCAGGGGAAGCAGTGGCAGACTCGGCTATCATCCTGCATGAGACAGTCTGAAGGTTGTGTGATATTTCGTCTCCTGACCAGGTTGGAAAACGCGGAGTAGGGATGATTTTGGAAGGGGAGATATCTTCGTTTCCGCCCTCGGAAAGCTGGGCCGGAAGAGCCGGGGAAATAGAGGAGAGCGGGCTAAAGCGGTCTTGGCATCAACGCCGTGTTCTCCTAGTGTTGGCAGTTTGCAGTTGCAGAGTGCCGGGCGGACGTGGTATTAGAAGTGTTCACTATCGTAGTATACCTTCGGTCGACAACATTGGTTCAGCTGCAGTCTATCTTTGGTAGATTTCGAATTGTATAGCGGACTCAGCCGAGCCAGCCTTGTCAAAGTTCGGTAGCAGATAGTTGGTTGTGATACATGGTTTTGTTTGCGACCTCCTTCTCCCACAGCGGCCATGGTTTTACAGCTCCCATCCCCGTCGTTGTCCCCGTATCGTGTGCCTCTCGCTCTGTAAAGTACTTCACGGCGCCGCCCAGACTCATCGCACTCCGTTGTACCCTTGCGTTTTGTTGCGTATAGATACTGTTGAAGATGCACATTTCCAGGCTCTCTGAGGTCACAACCATACCATGGCCTCTCATGAGCACAACTGGGTGCTTGACCTGACCATTCTCCCCTAGCGCCTTTGCCAGTGAGGAAGCAAGCTTGGTGTTCCTGATTAGCATGTCCTGATTGTCAGATGGATGGTCTTTGTACACCGAAGCCGCATCCCACACAGGAACGGCAGTTCCAAGAAACCCGGCCATGTGAAAACAGGCGGACAGGGGAACTGTGGAGATTGAAAATGGTACGACCTCGAGGCTGTGTGAATGCACCACTGACTGGACAGCTGGATATGCCTTGTACACTTCCGAGTGAATGAAGCGCTCCGAGAATCCTGTTTCTTGTGAGTTATAACATCATTATAGTAGCTGAGTAATGGGGGTACGGTCATGGTATTGATCAAGTGCCTGCTGACGTCCACATACCTCTCGGGGCGTCTGGTTTCACAGGCTGTGCATCTTCAATGTTGTATATGACAAGGTCTTCAATGGTCGCAACCAAAGCCGGCGCGAGATATCTGGACATCATAAAAGTCGAGGTGGATAGACGGACAGAGAGGTGTCCGTACGCGTCCACGAGGTCATGTTGATGAAGCATGTGACAGCCATCAATATATTTCCGGAGCAGGACAGGAGAGACCTGCGACAGGTCTGTAATGGAGTCGACCGAGCCCATCAGGCTTCTTTCTTAGTGCACTGGTGTGGTGTTGAAAGATGAGATTGCCCAACCTACAAAGCTTTGAAGTCTGATGAATAGCCTCAACTTAGCCGTGTGGCGGATAGGCAAAGAGAAACTTCCAATGGACGCGTTGATAGCAATTCGGCAAACGACCAGAGCGCAAGTGCTGATACCCTCGTCTGTCGTAGGGCACAACTCGACAGTTCTTCAATTGGCCCCATGGCAGTACACGTCTAAAACGTTGAATCTTTCATAGCGCGCAAGGACGGAGGGGTGAGGGAGACTCGACCCAGGCCGGGGAGATAACCTCAGCTGGGTAGATCTCGGCAGTCACATTCCGGAAGCTTCCACTGCAATGAGCCATACCACGGAAGCTCCGGGGGCGTAGCGAAGTCGTCCATTGCTGCCCCATTGTGTGGAGAGGCAGGAGGTAGAGGGTATACCTCCTAAGAGGTAGATGTAGAGGTAGTGGGAGGCGCTCCCATGTGACCGCTGAGCAGATTTAATGTCGCTATTGAAGTCGCCAAGGCTAACTAACCATTTTCGTTTAGCCAGAATATTGATTAAAGCAGCCACTGCGGTCATTAGTCTTGGTTAGTCTAACAAGTATCTCCAGCCGCTACAACATTACCGCCAAGGCCATCCACATTTGGACAGATCACTGTGTATCCATCTTCTGGCGGTCGCAGTCTCTCTTCGACAACCTGTCAACGGCTTCAGGGAAGTCCCTTCACTCGCATCCTAACCCTGTTCCGTCTTTTGATCTCTGGGACGCTGCGGGAACAGCATTTAGGGAAATTCCACAATGCTTTGATTCTTCTCTACCGCAGCCCACCATCCTCCGCACACTTGTATTGACGGCTCTCAATTGAACATTAGAGTACTTCCTTGGACCCTCTCATCAGAGCTAACGCATTCTCGCGAACATGGCGACCTTTCTCGAGAACTCGTACAGTCTGGTGCACCTTGACAACACCGCGGACCAGCCGAGTCAGCAGGACCTCAAGACACAGCTAGAAAAGGGTACGGATGAGACCAAGCTGGAAACCATGCGGAGGATCCTCACCATCATGCTCAATGGCGATCCCATGCCCAATCTATTGATGCATATCATCCGTTTTGTCATGCCTTCGAAAAGCAAATCTTTGAAGAAACTGCTATACTTTTATTACGAGATCTGCCCCAAGTTGGACGCCAATGGGAAATTAAAGCAGGAGATGATCCTCGTCTGGTAAACACAGCTGTTTCCTCAGAGATGGGAATCTTGAGACTGACTGTCGCTAGTAATGGAATCCGGAACGATCTTCAGCATCCCAACGAGTTTGTTCGAGGAAATACGTTGCGCTTTCTTTCCAAACTTCGAGAACCCGAATTGATCGAACCCCTCCTCTCCGCTGCGCAAACTTGCCTTGACCACAGGCATGCCTACGTGAGAAAGAATGCCGTATGGGCATTGGCCTCCGTCTATCAGAATGCCCAGCACCTGATCCCGGATGCCCCCGAGATGCTTCATACCTTCCTCGCCGGCGAAAGTGACACGACTTGCAAAAGGAATGCCTTTGCTGCACTGATGAGCATAAGCCATGACAAAGCGCTAGAATACCTCACTGGAGTCCTCGACGGAATACCTAATGCCGACGAGTTACTCCAGCTGGTTGAACTGGAGTTTATCAGGAAAGACGCTGTTCAGAATCAGGCAAACAAGGCGCGCTATTTGCGCTTGATCTTTGATCTGTTGGAAGCGAACACGAGCACAGTTGTCTACGAAGCTGCGACTTCACTGACAGCCCTGACGAGCAATCCGGTGGCTGTTAAGGCGGCTGCTGGAAAGTTGATCGAGCTGAGCATCAAAGAGGCAGACAACAACGTCAAGCTTATCGTGCTTGATCGCGTTGACCAATTGCGGAGACGGAATGAGGGCGTCCTGGACGATCTCACCATGGAAATCCTGCGAGTTTTGTCTAGCCCTGACCTGGACGTCCGACGGAAGGCTTTGGGGATTGCATTAGAAATGGTTTCCAGCAAGAACGTCCAAGAGATTGTCATGCTGTTGAAGAAAGAATTGGGCAAGACCGTGGTTGAACAATATGAAAAGAACTCGGAATATCGACAACTTCTGATTCAGTCGATCCACCACTGCGCCATCAAATTTTCAGAGATCGCGGCTAGCGTGGTTGATGTCTTGATGGACTTCATCGCCGACTTCAACAATAGCTCAGCAGTGGATGTTATTTCCTTCGTCAAAGAGGTGGTTGAAAAGTTTCCTAAGCTCAGATCATCCATTGTGGAACGGCTGGTGTCGACATTGGGCGAGGTCCGGGCAGGAAAGGTGTACCGCGGTTCACTTTGGGTAATTGGCGAATATTCCCTACAAGAGAATGACATCAAGGAGGCGTGGAAACGGATCCGGGCGAGTCTTGGGGAGATCCCGATTCTAGCTTCAGAGCAACGGTTATTAGACGAACAGACGAATGAGGATGGTGAAGCGAAGGACCAGGTCAACGGCCATTCAGCAGCCAAACCAGCCTCGAGCGGATCACGGAAAATCCTTGCAGATGGCACATACGCAACCGAAAGCGCATTAACCAGCGATTCCGCTGCAAAAGCGAGATTGGAAGCAGTCAAAGCGGCACAGAAACCCCCCTTGAGACAGCTTATCCTTGATGGCGACTACTATCTGGCAACAGTGCTTTCGTCAACCTTGACGAAATTAGTAATGCGTCACTCGGAGATCTCGACAGATCAGGCGCGCACAAATGCCTTGCGTGCTGAGGCCATGCTGATCATGATTTCGATCGTTCGAGTCGGACAGTCGCAGTTTGTAAAGGCGCCCATTGACGAGGATTCGGTGGATCGAATCATGTCCTGTGTACGGGCGTTGGCCGAATTCACTGAACGCAAAGAACTTGAGGTATCCTTCTTGGACGATACTAGAACAGCATTCCGGGCTATGGTTCAAGCCGAAGAGAAGAAACGGGCCGCTAAAGAAGCAGTGGAAAAGGCGAAGACAGCCGTCCAGGTGGACGATGTTCTTTCAATACGACAATTATCGAAGAAGAGTGCAGGCGATGGCACGGATGAAATGGAACTGGACCTGGAGAAAGCAACAGGTGGCGATACTTCGTTTGAAGATCTGTCATCCAAACTGAGTCGCGTCGTGCAGCTTACGGGGTTTTCCGATCCTGTTTATGCCGAGGCTTATGTCAAGGTGCACCAGTTTGACATTATCCTCGATGTACTCCTGGTGAATCAGACGACCGAGACTCTTCAGAACCTCTCGGTGGAGTTTGCTACTCTAGGTGATTTGAAGGTGGTGGAACGACCGACGACACATAATCTTGGACCGCACGACTTCCTGAACGTGCAGTCGACCATTAAAGTGTCAAGCACAGATACGGGAGTGATTTTTGGTAATGTCGTCTATGACTCGCCTTCTGGCACGGATACGCATGTTGTCATCTTAAACGATGTGCATGCAGATATCATGGACTACATTCAGCCAGCAACATGCTCCGAATCAGCATTCAGGACCATGTGGACCGAGTTTGAATGGGAGAATAAGGTGAACATCAACAGCAAAGCGACGACCAAGACGCTGCGGGAGTTCTTGGATCAACTCATGAAGAGCACGAATATGACGTGTCTGACGCCGGAAGCCAGCTTGAAAGGTGACTGTCAGTTCCTAAGTGCAAATCTGTACGCAAGGAGTGTTTTCGGTGAGTGATTAAGCTAGGCGTGGGGATTGGGCAAAGTGGCTAACTCGGGTCTAGGGGAGGATGCATTGGCGAACTTGAGCATAGAAAAGACGGCGGACAACTCGATTGTGGGATTTATTCGAATTCGGTCACGGTCTCAAGGACTGGCCTTGAGTTTGGGATCATTGAAGGGTTTGAAGGCAGGCACCTATTAGACTAAGGATCCGAGGGAAAATACCGAGTAGGGGTTTGGGGGGACAAAACACTGGGCAGTCACGGTAGCAATGCCGCGAAGCAAATCTCGGTGAGGATTGCAATGTGCGATCCATGATATCTGCTCAATACTCGGTCAAAGACCATCACAAGCAAGGCTGACCAGGGCCGCGAGATGGGCAAGATGGGTTCTTAGCGAGGTTAGTGAGGTCCACCTTGGTCCACCCACATGGACGACGCTCCCAGCCAAATGGTCGCGTCCCACCGCTGCGTTTCCCATTTCTCCGTCACGCATCATCCCCAGCCATCTCGTTGTGCCAACACTGCCAACACTGCCACCAACTTCAAGTCGTACTGCTTCATCATGTCTCTAAACCTCTATCGTCAATCTCACTGTAAGCGTCTTGACTCACTAATCCCTGTCTCGTCAGGTGTCTCTTTTTGCCAGTCTGCCTCTCCCTCTCCTGTCCCTCGCATCGTCCTCAGATCCTCCTCGCCATCACTTCTGGCGCCTCTCACCCACGAGAGCAGATAGCGGCCCATCTTCTCCCTCAGTGCCTATGGCACCATGGCTGCAACTGGCAGCGTTACCCTCCTCTCTCCTCGTTCTCATAGCCAGCTTAACCCCTCCGGCATCTTGCCAGCACCTGAACCTGCGATGGCCATACAATCTCCCCGCAGACTCGAAATACTACCCCGAAGATGAGTTGATGGTCAAGCGGGATATGGACGTGCAGCGGAAGCTACAAAGGAGCATGCCGACCGCAGTGAGGAAAATGAGTGGAGATCCCGGAGAGAAGTTCTATCTGGAATACTGGGGGTTTGAGGAGCAAGACGAGGAGTTCAACAACTACTCGTCAGATTGGACCAATGCGACTTTCTTCACATCCTTCGAACAGCCACTCCGACTCCACGGCAGTCATCAGAGTCCTCGCCTCTTTCGGCGACTACTACCTGGCTGGCATCTCTTTTCAGAGAGGGATTTCCAGTGTCCCACAGGCACATCAGCCTGCACCTCGATCGATCGACCCAACAGCTGTTGCGCAACTGGCTACACCTGCCAACTGGTCCAAGACACTGGATTGGGAGACGTCGGATGCTGTCCCGATGGCCAAGTCTGCGGGAATGCGCTCGCAACATCGTGTGCGAGCGGATATACCTCATGCCCGAACGATCCAGGCGGGGGATGCTGTCTTCCGGGATACGCCTGCTACCAAGTCGGATGTGTTCAGACCTCGACCGCGACGATTCTGACGAATCCAACACCATCAACGACGACTGTGACGAGTTATACGACGGTAACACCTTCGCCCTCGACGCCCTCGACAACGACAGTCACCTCCACGACTACGACCACCCCAGCACCGACCCGGACTTCGAGTGTCACACCCCTGCCACCAGTCATTTCCACCGTCACGCTCACAGTCACAGTGACCTCCGCCACGACCCTCCCACTCACGTGCTCCTCTGGATACCAATCCTGCCCGGCCTCACTGGGAGGCGGGTGCTGCCCAACGGATCGCCAATGCGGCTCTGCAAATTGTCCTCCGCTGTCCACGTCATCCTCGGCGACACCAGAACCACCCGTGCGTCCGACTTCTCTTACGACGACCGTCGAGACGACAACCACGACCACGACCCACTCCACGTCGCTATCGTACCCGGTCACCGGGTGTCCCACTGGCTTCTACGCCTGCTCGGCCTACTACGTCGGCGGATGCTGCCAGATCGGCCGAAACTGCGACTCGACATCCTGTCCCGCTCTGCCTTCCACGACGCTGGTCTCCGGGAGCACCCTGACCATTGTCGCGCCGACAGGTCCGGGAATCACTGCGCCGGGAACACTGGCAACGGGGAACTGTGCCAAGGGCTGGATGACCTGCGCCCCAAGTGTGGGTGGAGGGTGTTGTCCCAGCGGCTATGTCTGCGGCGCGACTAGCTGTAGCGTCCCCGCCGATGTAACTGGGGGAGGTGCAGGCGTTGGGAAACAGGCACCAAATGTGGCAAGTAAGAGGGAGCACTTCTGGAGTGGTGCTTCTTGGATCTTGATGGGTGTGTGGTTGATGTTTTGACCTCTGTCAAGGCCGTTGGGTTTTGGATCGGTGGTAGCGGAGGGAAGACGTTTTTCGTACACCGGACAATTTTCCGTGTGGACAGACAGCACCGCACATAAGCGCGCACATACGCACGTTTGAAGGCAAGACGGCAGAATTATTCCATGTTCCGGGCTCCATGGGGCAGGCATGTCGAGAAGGGGCCCAGGCATAAGGATAACCAGATTCTATAAAGGACTCTAATGTATCTTGAGAAGCTTTCCGAGTATGGCTTTTCCAGATGAGAGACTGTTGCAGCGTCCTTCTGAAGCAAGAAGTGAGGATGTAGTTTCATCATTGTGAGAAATTTGCTCCAGGGTATTGTCTCGTGGTGTCTGTAACGCAAGCCATATATCTGTGGTCACTAAGGCTGAACAAGTCCCCTTTGACTCGCACACCTCGGCGACGTACAAATTGATGTCCAGAGCCATCGTCTTTGCTACTCCATTTTCCCTCGTTTGTATCCTCTTGTGCCGACCTTTAGAAGTACACCGTGGATCTTGAATCCTCCAGTCAGCCATCTGACCTTTGGCCCAAACCGATACCTAACGCCCTGCGCCAATGCTCAAATCATTTTCTCTTCGTGGTAAAATCCTTCCGACATGAGAGACACCCACAGTTCCGCCCTGCACCGAAGACGCCGTCATTAGTCTTGTTGCTGCGCTCCCAACTCTTCATACTCTTTCAGCTTGCGCTGCACCAGTTCAGCCGCATGTTGCTTGACCAATTCTTTGTCTTCCCTCACATCGACCTGCATGACATCCCATTCAAGGTCTTCCTCTGGCTCCTCCAGCGTCGCCATCTGGCTGTGTACCATTCCTTCTTTCATATAGTGGCCGACTCGGGCAGCTACCCTGGCTTGCAACGTTGCTTCGTCGACCTTGAGATAAATGAAATGGACTTGGACCGAAGGGTGTTCGTAATTGGCGACACGGATGACGTCGCGGTATTTGCGTTTGAGAGCCGAACATGTGACAATGACGGAGTTGGTGGTTTGGAGTTTCTTGACGGCCTCTTCTCGGAGGGTGATCAGCCAATCCCACCGGTCGGCGTCGGTAAGGGGAGTTCCAGAGGCCATTTTTTGCTTGTTGGCTATGGGATGGTACTGTGCCTGCATTAGCCAGAAAATACATGTCTCACGGATAGCGCAACATACATCATCACCCTCGATATAGGGTAGCGACATCTCGGCAGCGAGGTGCTGGGCTACAGTAGTCTTTCCACATCCTGCAGGGCCCGTGATGATCCAGATGTGTTCTAGGTGGTCGACTCCGTTCTGCATGGCTCGTGCGGAGGCCCCGTAGTTCGAGGAAACAGGTCGGTGAGGGTGCCAAAAAGGATGAGGCCTGGCAGTTCGTTCTGTCGACAGCATGGCGGTGTATGTTAGGCTAGCAAACGAGTGATGTCACGATTGACGCGAACACGAGTGGTGGCGCTTAGAGCCAGGGAAGCACGCGAGCAAACAAGAAGCAATGGACGAAAGGAGAAGTGCGTGGGGGGTAAAAGGCAGTGCTAAAGTATAAGGAAGGAAAAGGAAAAGGACCGATCACTTACTGGGAGGGAGAAGGAGTGAGATATAAAGACGCAACTCATAAAGGGGGGGAGGGGTGAGAATTGCCGTCAAGACCACCAGAATTGCTGTTTTGAGTGGCGGTCAATGCTGGAATGCTGGAAAGGAAAGGAATGCAGACTCGACGCGGCAAGCACCATGAATGTCGTACAGAGCTGGATTGAATCCAGGGTGACAGTTGCCCGGTCTTACCCCACACCCAAAAACTCACCTAGAGTCGGCCACGCTGCCGGATAAAGTCATGGCGATCCCCGTGTGACAGCAGCGGTACCGAGATGTGGATTGGGGAGGAAGTGGAAAGGGTGGAATCGAGCCCGAGAGGCACAGTCCTCGTATCGATCCAAATCTTCAGAGGCCAGCGAACCAAGGAGTGAAGCAGAGAGCGAGAGAGAGTTTGGAGAATGTGCGGTCGGCCTGCGGGGAACGCGGAAGGAATCCAAGTGTGTTCGGCAATTGAACCATCAGCCTCAGCAGTAGCCGTCGCCAGCAAGCAATGCATAACGAGGTGAAGATTTGCGAGCCCGCTCAGAGAAAAGGTAGTAGCCTCAGGGAGACATCTGGTCGCTGTTGGAATAGAAGATGACTCCGTAGCGGTTGCTCAACCGTCACCGGCTCTTCTCTTGGTTCAGTACAGCGTCTTCTTCAGAACAGCCTGTCTTGTGGTGTCTTGTCCTGGTGTCACAACCTTGCATTGCTTTGCACATGATTCAGGATTCAGGATTCATCGAGGTCTGGAGGCCTCCACCCCGTTGATGGGAGGTGAAAGAAATGAGGCGGGATGGTGAAGTCGACCCGTGGCTTGTTGGAGCAGTTCGAGTTGTGCTGCATCATCGTCTCGCAATACGATAGATGGGTGCATCAGCATCCCGTGGCATGCTTCATGTCTTTCTTTCTGTAGCGCGAGCGTCTCAATAGCGTGGGCAAATTATGGCGTCGAGTTGTGAGAGAGGTTCATCCCCCAAGTAGAAAAGATGTCAAGTGGTTGTCGCTCAAGCCTGCGCAAGGCTTGGCACTGATCTGGGGCAGCTGAGGCAAGCTGCGGTGGCTGTAGGCTGCACCATCAAGTAAAGTACCGCGTCTTATCCTTTGAATGCGACAACATCTCTGTTGCATCTTCCTTACACACAGACAACATCCTTCTCGCAACATTCATACGCTAGATCTCTCCGACTATAGCATCCCTTCCATCTCCCACCCTTCCTGACCATGTCCGCGTTCTTCTTCTCGACGCCCGTCGATATCGACATTGTCCTCGAAGATGCCGATGAGCGGCAAACAGTCGATGTCAAGCTTGACAAGAACAGGCGGGAGAAGGCTCCCTTATATCTTGATGGCGAATCCGTGAAAGGCGCAGTCACGATAAGACCAAAGGATGGGAAAAGACTGGAGCACACTGGGATCAAGGTCCAATTCATCGGACTGATAGGTACGCCACAACAAACGGTAGTTGGGTCGTTGACACCCTCGATCTGACTCGGCCTCATCTAGAAATGTTCTTTGACCGAGGAAACCATTACGAATTCTTGTCATTAGGACAAGAACTTGCTGCGCCGGGAGAACTGCAACACCCCCAGACCTTTCCCTTCAACTTCAAGAACGTCGAAAAGCAGTACGAGTCATACAATGGCATTAACGTCAAATTACGGTACTTCGTCCGCGTCACAGTCTCAAGAAGGATGGCCGACGTCATTCGGGAGAAGGACATCTGGGTCTACTCATACCGGATACCCCCGGAGACAAACAGCTCTATCAAGATGGATGTCGGGATTGAAGACTGTCTGCATATCGAATTTGAATATTCCAAGAGCAAATATCATCTCAAGGACGTCATCGTTGGAAGAATCTATTTCTTGCTGGTCAGATTGAAGATCAAACACATGGAGTTGTCCATTATCCGAAGGGAAACGACCGGTGTCGCCCCCAACCAGTACAACGAGAGCGAAACGTTGGTGCGGTTTGAGGTACGTCCTTCTAGCTCCGAATGTTCTGGCTGCTCACATTGTTTTCAGATTATGGATGGTTCACCCTCACGAGGTATGATTTGCGCCAGACGCCCCATCGCATGGCGGGACGAAGTTTTGATGGACACTGGAGACATCGGAGATTCCTCGAATTTGAAATACAAGCAAGAATGAGAATAAATGCTGATGCGAGTCTAGGTGAAACAATCCCTATACGGCTCTTCCTAGGAGGATTCGACCTGACACCCACTTTCCGAGAGGTGAACAAGAAATATTCGACCAGGTATTACCTCAGCCTGGTGTTGATTGACGAAGGTACGTTTCTATACTCTGCCCACTTTGCACTGGCCGCCCCAGACTGGATTTGGTTCAGAGACGGGGGACTATGTGCCAGCCTTGCTCGTACAAAGGCCCCTACGTCGGTAGCCCCCACTCGAGGCCCTATTCAAACGCCGACACCTGCATGGGCCATTCCTCAGCACCCTCCCCACACTAAGCCTGGTGTCCGGCGCTTTTTTCGGGGTGTCTTGAAATAACTATCGAGGCTACCCTCTCCAAACCCTTGAATATATAGGAGCGCGATCCCGTCTTTGACCTAACTGACATCTGGCAAACAGACGCTCGCCGCTACTTCAAGCAGTCGGAAATTGTTCTGTACCGACAGGCGCCCGAATTGCCTCCCCCACTAGCAACAGACCAGCCCGGCGCCGGCGGCAAGCTGCCCATCCATTCTCCGCCGACACCTGCCTAATTGAGGGGACATTTTCCCAAACGTTTTTCCGTTTGCGGCGGGACTGTTACCGGAAAAGTTTCCTGCGGTGGCGCCTGAAAACTAAGGTTACGGTGAACACGCCCCGACTCAGACTGGGCAATTTTGCCCGTCGAGTTGTTTTTGGAAGGCTATCGGGCCTGTCAAGAGTGGCAGAATTCCACGATTTCGATTTTGGACCTCGGGTCAAAGCGAGTCCGTGTGATGGGGATTTGTCTCTCTAGGGCACCCGGAATTGCCCCGGGATGGGCTCAGATACTCAGATGCCTGTTGCTTCAGTCGACCGTCTTCGTGGCGTGTCTCGCTCGACTGGGCTGTCACGCGGCAAGGACATCAGGAATTATGCATCGCTCCCCCGAACCTCGTGCGCATTGTCCTGTTCAATCAAGAGCAATCGCGCTCCAAGTATCAAAGCACAAATCTATCAAATACACCATTCCTCATGCCAATCAACCTTTCGAATTTTAACATTGCCTCTGTCGCTTGTGAACATCGGTCCTTTCCCTCGACCAGATTTCGGTTATTCGTAACTAGACACACTCGGAT